TATTAAAATCAAAGGAAGTTATTTAACTATCCACTGAGATGCAGGCTCTACTTAGTTCGGTAGCTGTATGTAATTTATTATTCAATAGAGACAGTTAAGACAGAAATAAAAGCACATAAGTCGCAGAATATTTTGTTAACTTTGTAATAACTGTATTTATAATATTGTCACATGCTTGCACACCTGTTTTATTTATTATATTGAAATGACTGCAAAATGTATGATTTGTGACTTTGTCACATATTTATAGACATATCGAATGTTAACTTGCACATCACTAGACATAATAGGGTAGGGAATTTTACCACCTTGCAATATCGGCAAGTCGACAGGCCTTGAGGGCGAGCGGTGTCCGGCGCACCATCTACTCCACACTCCGCGTTCACTGAAGAATTAATTTACTGTTCTCCCACAGTACACACTACGTGTTTATATTTAACACATAGTGAATAAATATCGAATAGTCGTATTTGCCGTTATCTATTTATTCTGCTTTTTATTATAATTAAAACTTTGTCCGTATCTGTATTTTTGTCGTTTAGTTAGGCTAACTTTAAATAACTTTTAAAAGGAAGAGGTACTATGTTTGTTTATATTTGTGTGTGTGTTGCGTGCGTGTATGTGTGTGCGAGTCTCTCTCTCTCTCTCTCTCTCTCTCTCTCTCTCTCTCTGTGTGTGTGTGTGTGTGTGTGTGTGTGTATGTGTGTGTGTCTGTCTTTTGGTAACCCCATCTGCCCTAATAATCGTAATGAACACACCCGGAATTCAGCACTATGGTTTCCAGGGGAATCACATGGAGGTCAACTTGACAGGACACATTGCTGGCAATGGGACTGGTAGGGAAGTCCGCATTACTAACAATCCTTTCCTCTCCTACATAGGTAACGGTTAGCACTTACAATTAGGTAGAGCGCCAGCTTGTTCGCGACTCTAAGTATCATAAAAAAAAAAAGAAAAAACGCAGAAAAATGGTTGGCCTATGAATGACGTCCAAACCACAAAAATGCAAGCGACAGGAATGAAAGACGAAAGGTTAAAGCGAACAATGGGCATCACTCTCGCTTGACAGCATGAAATACGAGGGCATGATACAATATGATACATTAACTGTCCCTCAGAAAACATATAAAACGTAATGTTTGTAATACTAGCTACTCGCCCGGCTTCTCTTGACTAACTTCTTGAATAAGATCTTTGATGCTTACAATAGGAATCGTCTTTATTCAAACAGTCTTGTTTACAAGCTCTTTTCAACCGACTTTAAAAAGTAGAAGTCTCTAATTTCGATTGTTTTTTTTATGTTTGTTACCTCATAACTTTTTATTCTTTTTTTGCAACTTAGAATGGCAAACAAGCTGACGGCCCACCTGATGGAAAGTGGTAACCATCGTCTATAGACATGAGCAGTACCATGGACATAATAGAGTATACTGTTTCGCCCATGATACCCCCCATGCTTTGTTATTCCTGTGGACTCAGGTGTTATTCCTCTGTACCCAGTAAATTCACGCCATATCCCACCCTTCAAACCGAAACACAGCCATGCAAACACAACTGCTTCACGGTTGAAACACGAATGGGACAGAGGTACCCAAAAGGACTTTTGTACAAAGTCTCCCTCTGGTAAAACTCTCATTTTTTTGAAGTCACTTAATTATTGGTTCTGCCCATAATTGACTTTGAAAAAGTGAGTCTGCCCTACCAATAAGTTCTTTTGCCCTACCTTGAACTTGGGTCTAGCTACGGCGCTGTTCTCACCTGTCAACTGATACTGATTACATTTCTTTGTGAAACATATTTTTATAGATACTATAGGTAACATGGGTAAACAATAACAAAGGATTTTAAGAATCCCTTTCCCAGAATGATTTCTTTGTATACAACTTAGAATGGCAAACAAGCTGACGGCCCACCTGATGTAAAGTGGTAACTGTCGCCTATAGACATGAGCAGTACCATGGACATAACAAAGTATACTGTTTCGCCCATAATACCCCTCATGCGTTGCCATTCCTGAGGACTCAGATGTTATTCCTCTGTACCCAGTAAATTCACGCCATATCCCACCCTTCAAACCGAAACACAGCCATGCAAACACAACTGCTTCACGGTTGAAACACGAATGGGACAGAGGTTCTCAAGCAATCGACTTTTGTACAAAGTCTCCCTCTGGTAGTATTAAATAGTAGTTGAAAGTTTGGATGAAAATCTCTTAAATACGTTCTATAAGGCACACTGGTTTTCCTTATGAAGCACGGCCACCCATAATATGTTATTAATTACAGAAGCTTTCAGCTTTCATAACGCAAAAAATAATGTCATTCGCCCCCAATTACGGTCCCCCATATTTTCGTCCCCACTTATATCAAAGCCAATCGACGCGACCTGTAATTGAGATAGCCTGCCCAATCTTGAATATTGGAGCTATAAATCTATATGCTATTTGATGTGTGCACAAAATACATGCGACAAGTACATTTTTTTATGCAAAAAAATACTTTAATGATGATGCACGTATACACACATACATACATACATACACAAACATTCGCGTGTATACACACACATACATACATGCACGCACGTATACACGCACGCACGCACACATGCACACACGCACTCACGCACGCACGCGTATACACATACATACACACACGTGCACGTGTTAGATATTTCTTTAAAAATTATATTAGTTTTCTTAAACATTTTATGAATCCCATTGCTAGCAATATACCCAACCAGGTCGACCTCCTTTGGATTTTCGGTTCTCCCTGGAAACTATCATGGTTAATTCCTGATGAATTCATCATGATGGGCTAACTGGCCTGTTTTCATTCTCACCTATCACCCTTCACTGGTGCTCCGCCAGCGTATCCCGTTAGCGCAGGCGGGGTTACCATACCATTTAAATCCATCAAAAAAAAATGATTTATTATTATTATTTCTAAAATAAATCAACTGTTTGAGTACTTGTGCTTCTTTCTATTTATTACTAAGAGGCTTACAACCATTATATTGCTAAAGAATATATCATATACTCGTATATGTAAAGTTAGGATTACGTAGTTAAATTACTATAAGAACCTATTACCCTACATAACATATTGTATAATATATTATAGACAATAAGACAGTTTTTGCTTTTACACGCACTCACACAGTTTTAGGTTTAAACAAAGCTTGTAATAATGTAAAATTAAAGATTGATATAAATACTTTGTGTAATCGTATTGGATTGGAAGTATGCACGCACTCACACATGCATACATGGGCGGCGGTAGTCACTTACCACCAGGTGAGCCGCATGCTTGTTTGCCCCCTGTGTTGTAAAAACAAAATAAATACTCGAAAGTAGATTTTACTTCATAAGAAATAGGATTTAACTGCGCAAAGAATAACAGTACCAGAGGGAGACTTTGTACAAAAGTCGATTGCCTGGGTACCTCTGTCCCATTCGTGTTTCAACCGTGAAGCAGATGTCTTTGCATGGCTTTGTTTCGGTTTGAAGGGTGGGTGGGATATGGCGTGAATTCACTGGGTACAGAGGAATAACACCAGAGTCCTCGGGAATGGCAATGCATGGGGGGTATCATGGGTGAAACAGTATACTCTGTTATGTCCATGGTACTGCTCATGTCTATAGGCGACGGTTACCACTTTCCATCAGGTGGGCCGTCAGCTTGTTTGCCATTCTAAGTTGTATAAAAAAAAACTGCAGCTTCAATTATCTCAGAATGAATACGGTCCCGTTATAATTCACATGCAAGTAAACCCTATATATTGGAAAAAAAAAATTGTGAATATCAGTTCAAAATTGGCGACATAATCGAGCAACGTGACCACAAATAATGCACATCTTCCATGGCTTTCTTTGTAAATCGCTAAAAACAGTATTCTTAGTCGAAACATTTGTAGGGACTCCGTCTAGTTGATATAGAACTGCCCCAAATCGTTTCCCCTACCAATCTTGTCGGCAGGATGGCACTTATTCCCTATGGCATAAAAAAATCGTGTGTTCAGTAACTATTTTACGACGCCTGTCCTACACGGTCATATAACAGGATACGTTATGAGTGGATCACGGAATGGGACCCCGGGGTACTGTTACAAGTTTTGGGTGTCGATTAGTGACGTCACAAGGCAGTATCTAGAGACAGACCAATTGCAAACCCGGTTTTGTTGTACTCGCAAAAGTTGGATTTCTACATGTTTAGACGTAATTGACAGCTGATATCTTTTATAATGTTTTATTGTTTAATCTATTAAGATAATCAAAACAAATTATAAATGTGCAAGAGTATTAATTTAATATTAATAATCAACAAACACACCAGATTCATACAACACAATTCATACACAAAACGCACAACCATTCACAAATTCAGTAAACACTCAACAAAGAAGAGGGCAAGGTGGGAGAAGAAGGACATGAGGCGTAATAAATTATAATATTAGTATATTAATATATATTATAATAAATATATATATAGTATTATAATTAATATATACACCAGAGGGGGATTTTGTACAAAAGTCGATTGCTTGAACAGCTCTGACCCATTCGTGTTTCTACCGTGAAGCAGTTGTGTTTGCATGGATGTGTTTCAGTTTAAAGGGTGGGATATGGCAATGAATTTACAGGGTACAGAGGCATAACACCTGAGTCCTCAGGAATGACAACGCATGGGTGGTATTATGGGCGAAATAATATACTCTCTTACGTCCATGGTACTGTTCATATCTACAGGCGACGGTTACCATTTTACCGAAATGCACAGCTATGCAAACATAACTGCTTCACGATAGAAACACGAATGAGACAGAGGTGTCCAAGCAAACGACTTTTGTACAAAGTCTCCCTCTGGTAAAAAAAATTGCATTTGATAGCTCATTTCTTGAGGAAGGTTGTAAGCGATTCAACATCATGATAAACGGACGAAGCCGCGGAATATAGCCAGTATAATATTAATTGATTGAAATTTAATTTTCTTCCTTAACAGTGCCACCGAACAAGGCGTTCATATCTGGAGTAGGGGAGCACGCGACCCAGGGTACCTTGCTTACCCTTATGTGCACAGCATCAGGGGCGAGGCCGGCGGCCAACATCGAGTGGTACAATGGTACCCAGAAACTGGACCCCGAAGATAATAACATTCATGTAAGTAATTAGTCCTTCAAAAATATTATATGAATTTTACTTTACTAATATAATATGAATTAAAATGTAGTTATAATGTAAACGATCGTGTGGTCCCGGTATAGAATTGGCCACCCCTTCCTTTCCCGTGGATATCGGAAGAGGCGACTAAAGGACGGCGAGGGAGATATAAAAATATAATACAACCGAATTGAAACCCCTTCCTTTTTTGAAGTCGGTCGATATTCGTCATCTATCTATCCTATTTAAGAGCTGCGGCTCTTGTCGGTGGAGCTCTTGCCACTCACTACGATTTTCAGCGAGTCTCTTCACCTCTTGACACGACACGACACCAACTCCTTCCTTGATCTGCCTGATGTAACTGTCTCAGTCTCCCTCTTCCCCTGCTTCCTTCTATCTCACCTTCTATTATAATGTTCATAAGTTCGTCGTGTCGTATCAAGTGTCCCAACATTTTTTCCCTTCTGTCCTCAATAGTTTTCATAATTTGTCTCTTTTCCTTAACCCTAAGCAGGACCTCCTCATTATTAACTCGTCAACAGAAAGCGGTAATTCAAAACAGCGTCTTGACACAACAAAAGTATCATCACAATAACCCGATCTGCTTAGATCTCGAAGTAGATCGAAGCAAGATTTCTAATTGAATTCCCTTTTGTAACTGACACAAGCGCTTCTCTATTCACCTTACTTATATAACGATGGGCGTATTGAGGCGTCCATAGATATTAAGTCAAATAGATGTCGCCAACTGTAATTGTAATGTGTAATTTTCACTACAATTTGCGTCACAATCAAAAAATAACAAATTCGACGATGTAATATACATTGTAAATATAAATATATGACATTGTAAATATTATATGTTTATACATAAATTTTGCTTTATAATAAGCAGTTTTTGCTCTGCGAACAAAAAACGATCAACGGTCAAATTTTAGTCATCATAAAATTAATATGAGATACAATTTAATATATATATATATATATCATAAATACATACATACCATATCATATATACATATATTTACCAGATGGAGACTTTGTACAAAAGTCGATTGCTTGGGTACCTCTGTCCCATTCGTGTTTCAACCGTAAAGCAGTTGTGTTTGCATGGCTGTGTTTCCATCAGGTGGGCCGTCAGCTTGTTCGCCATTCTAAGTTGTATAAAAAAAATCATAAACAAATAATCTTTTCAACATGTTATTATAAATAAATACTTTCATGTAATTAGGTGTGGTCCCGGCATAGAATAGGCCACCCCTTCCTTTTCCATAGATATCGTAAGAGACGACTAAGGGACGGCGAGGGATGGGCAGCAGCGTCCCTCTTAAAACATCTCCAAAGCCTAACTGCGATTGCCAATCCGCCTGCCTAGCGTGGTAACTACTGGCAAAACCCCCTAAGGGGGAGGATTATGTTCAGCAGTAAACAGTTGAAGGCTGATATGATGATGATGATGATGATGTAATTAAGTATTCCTTTTGTTTGTGTACATATTTTTATTTATCATTCTTTGAAGAGAACAATAATGTAAAAAATGGCAATAAATGTATTATTTATTTATTTAAAGACTTTTCATTCATTCATTCACACATTCATTCATACTTTAGCATTCAATACATGATCTAACTAACTCACGCTTGGTTTCATCGCTCCTGATAAATTCATAGCGTTTCCTTAAAATGATGCGTCCGGTTATTGCCAACATTTCCCGGTTATTGCCAGCACTCACCATTCACAGTTATTGGGTAATCGTAGATGTTATTTTTATATGTTTTTCACAACTACTTGTTTGATAACGTTATTATGTTTTATTATAATGAGTCGTGAACAAAAGTGCTTTCGTGAATTGTCGCTTAGTTTTGATATCTCCATCTATTTGCGTTTTATCTCTGTTTAATGGGATACAACTTTATTTAAATAGACTTGTTTACAAATACCTTTAATTGTCTCCGACTTCAAAAAGGTTCACCGTTTAGTTGTATTTTTTTTTATGTTTGTTACTTTATAATCGCGTACTGCGCGATTTCAGAGATGTTTTCTCCCACGAACACTCAGGTTATGGAATGATCTCCCTGCCAAAGTTTTTCCAAGAGACTACAGCATGGGGTTCTTCAAAAGGGGGGTAAAGAGGTTTCTTCAGGGTCGGCAACGCGCGCGTAATACCTCTGGTATTGCAGGCGTTCATACGCTACAGTAACCGCTTACCATCAGGTAGGCCATATGCTTGTTTGCCACCTCAGTGGTATAAAAAAAACTGAGACAGCTGTAAACCGATTTAGAAATTATTTCTTTATCTGACAGTATATGTTAAGAGATTGGGTCAGTGGAATTTTTATGATTCTAAAAATGTAAAATTGGTTTGCACAAAAATAAACTAACTTCAATTCTAACAAAACCAGTTATTTTTATTTAAAAGCTAAAATACTGAACCGATTTTAATAAAATTCTTATGGAACTAGTACCTGTATTATATCTGAAAGTATATAACTATGGGACCATTCGATAGATAGATAGATAGATAGATACTCTTTATTGTTTCCTCCAAAAGATTACAATATTAAACTTATTATAAATATAAACAATTACAAGAAATAATCACATCTATAAGTTTCCGTGTAGGTCCCGGCATAGAATGGACCACCCCTTCCTTTCCCGTGGGTGTCGTTAGAGGCGACTAAGGGAGTATATAGTGGAGGGATGGGCAGCAGCGTCCCTCTTAGAATATCTGTAAAAGCCTAACTGCGGTTGCCAACCCGCTTTGCCAAGCATAGCAACTACTGCCAAAACTCCTCTTATGAGGAAGGCTAATGTTCAACAGTGGACAGTTAACGGTTGAAGAATAATAATAAAAATCGGCAAATCTATGACTGAGTTTAAGACAACAAATATACGAGTACAAATGCGACCGATTTTTTTTTTTATACAACTTAGAATGGCAAACAAGCTGACGGCCCACCTGATGGAAAGTGGTAACCGTCGCCTATAGACATGAGCAGTACCGTGGACATAACAGAGTATACTGTTTCGCCTATGATACCCCCACGCGTTACCATTCCTGAGGACTCAGGTGTTATTCCTCTGTAAATTCCCAAAGTAAAGTTCTCTGTAAAGTACCCAGTAAATTCACGCCGTATCCCACCCTTCAAACCGAAACACAGCCATGTAAATACAACTGCTTCACGGTAGAAACATGAATGGGACAGAGGTACCCAAGCAATCGACTTTTGTACAAAGTCTCCCTCTGGTATTAAAAAAAACCTCTTTGTTTGAATTCAGTTAAAAATACGGACGAACTGAGAACCCTTTCCTTTATAAAGCCGCTTAAAAATACAATAATCATACAATCATGTTGTACTCCATTCAAAACTTGGTGGTTACTTCACAATTTCAAATATTTAACTAGAGGGTGGGAACCCTAAATTAATTGGGGTACCCTAATGGAATTGTTTTACTTTTGTAAAAGTTTAAATGGTGTACTTTAATGCTTCCTGATTCGGGGAACGGAACGGTTTTTGGTATGCAACCGGCAGGGTGGGGTGATTGGGTACGATTGATTTTGAAGGGTTAACTTGTACAGTCAGCGTGAAAAATCTATTAACAGGTAATATCAATTGTATGAATATTTTGTTTTTAAGTTTATTTGTGAGTACTGTAATGTGTGGTCCCAGCGACTGTTTTATTTCAAGTGAAATAATCAGCGGGCTATGGAGAGGGCCATGCTCAGAATTTCTTTGCGAGATAGAATCCGAAACGAGGATAACCGCAAAAGAACCAACAAAGCCCGAAGAATAAGCCAACTGAAGTGACAATGGGCCACATAGCTCGAAGAACTGACGACGGATGGGGAGGAAAGGTTCTTAAGTAGCGACCCTGTACGAGCAAACACAGTGTAGAACGACCCTTCCCACTAGATTGACGATCTCAAATGTATTGCAAGGAGTCAGCGGATACAGGTGATTCAGGACCGTTCCTTATGGAAGTCTATAGGGGAGGCCCATGTCCAGCAGTGGACGGATAATGGCTATACATAAAAGAAATAACATAATTTTGACACTAATACAAAATGGTCACAACTCAGTTTATTGCTTTGCCTTCAAAAGAGCGAAATTCTGATATTCTGTTGTGGCCAAAAATTAAAAATCTTGCTTTTTGGTTTTTGGTGGCGAGATTCGTGAACAAAAAAATATTAATAATAAATAAATACTATTAGAAATAGGGTAGTTAGAGGTCACTCTCGAAAACAAAAACAAAAGGCGATTATTAGTCGAGGAATGGGCAGCAAAGTCCCTCGTAAAACGTCAAAGCCCAACTGCGGTTGCCAACGGGCACAGCTAGAGGCATATTACCCCAATAGTATTAATACCAACTAGTAACTAAATAACGTTGCTAATCACTAAAGCACTCGCATAACAAAAGAGATGCTAATAGCGTACATAAAAGATAAATCATATTCTAAGAAAAGCGAAAATACCTATGACCCAATTAACCTACTTCACATAACATCACGCTCCGCTGTACACGACAATATACCCTATGTGTAATGTAATAGAGTTGAATTCACATTGTCCAGTGTAGCCTTTGAAGTATCCACGCAACGGACCGAACATTAGGGTTGGGGAAAATTTTAATTAAATTACAGCGAAATATAATATTTATAATTATATCATTAATACATTTAATACGTGGAATGACAAACAAACTTGTTGTCCATACAGCTTAACTAATAAATAAATAAATATGTATATATATATATATATATATATATATATATATATATATATATATATATATATATAACCGACTTCTCTAGATATAAAGACCACCATAGACTAGTATCTATATGATGGTTAATATATGGTGACGAGGGGATAGTAGCCCCATTGCTGACAATATGCCCTCTCAGGTCGACCTTCTTGTGGTTCCCCCTGGAAACCATCGTGTTCAATTCTAAGTGAATTCTGAAGTCTGACTGACCTGCTTTTTCATCCTTATCTATC